GATCTAGAAAAACAACAACAAATGAAACCCAAATTAGTAAGGGAAAAGAAATAATTGAAATAAGAGAAGAAATAAACAAAACTGAAAAAAATACAAAAGACCAGTGAAATGAAGAGCTGATTTTTAAAGAAAATCGGCAAAATTAATAAAATCAGAGATGACAAAGGAGATATAACAATGGATACTACAGAAATAAAAAGAATAATCAGGAATTACTACAAATAACTACATGCCAACAAATTGAGAATCCTAGAAGAAATGGATAGATTCCTGGACACATACAATCTACTATATTTGAGGCATGAGTACAATAAAAGCCTAAACAGCCCAATAACCAAGATTGAGATTGAATCAGTAATAAAGACCCTCCCTTCAAAGAAAAGTCCAGGAACAGATGGCATCACTGCTGAATTCTACCAGACTCTTAAAGAAGAACTAATTCCAACTCTTCTAAACTATTCAAAGACAATTAAAAGGGAGGGAATCCTCCCAAACACATTTTATGAGGCCAGCATCACATTAATTCAAAAACCAGAAAAAATAAAAAGAAAGGGAACTATATACCAATATCCTTGATGAACACAGATGCATAAATTCTCAACAAAACATTAGCTAATAGAATCCAACAACACGTTAGAAAGATCATTCACCCAGACAAAGTGGGAATTATCCCTGGCATGCAGGTATGATGCAACATATGCAGCAAATCAATAAATGTGGTACATCACATTAACAAATTGAAGAATAAAAACTATATCATTATCTTAATAGATGTGGAGAGAGCATTTGATAAAATACAATACTCTTTCATGATAAAAGCCTTAAGCAAATTGGGTATGAAAAGAACATCCCTCAACACAATCAATGCAATATATGACAAAGCCATGGCCAGCATGATATTGAATGGGGAAAAATTGGAAGAATTTCCGCTAAATCCTAAACAACACATGGATGCCCTTTTTCATCATCATATTCAATACAGTCCTGGAAGTTTTAGCCAGAGCCATTGGGCAAGAAAAAGAAATAAAAGGAATACAAATTGGAAAGAGGAAGTCAAATTATCCTTGTTGGTAGATAACATTATTCTGTATATAGGGGCTCTAGAAGACTCCACTAAGAGACTATTGGTACTCATAAGAGAGTTTGGTAAAGTTGCAGGATATAAAATCAACACTCAAAAAATCAATAGCTTTTGTATGCAATGGCAATGCCATTTATGAGAAAGATCAGTCTCATTCACAATAGCTATAAGATCAGTCTCATTCACAATAGCTACAAAATGTTTAAACATCTTTGAATAAATTTAACCAAGGAGGTAGGTTAAAGATCTCAATGATGAAAATTACAAAACATTTAAAGAAATCGAAGATATGAAAAATTAGAAAAACATTCCATGTTCCTGGATTGAAAAATTAATACCATCAAAATGCCCATACAATTAAAATTTACAGATTCAATGCAATTGAAATCAAAATACCAAAGACATTTTTCTCTGATTTAGAAAAAAAGATATTGAAATCCATTTTGAAACACAGGAGACTGCGAATAGCTAAAGTGATCTTAAACAACAAAGACAAAGGTGGAGGCATCACAATGAAATGCCAGATTTCATGACATATTACAGGGCAGTTAAATTATAACAGCTTGGTACTGGCACAGAAATAGATATGTAAATAAATGGAATAGTATAGAATCCCAAGAAATCAATCCAACCAACTCATTTTAACAAAGATGCTCAAATCAATCTCTGGAGCAAGGACAGTCTCTTCAACAATGGTGTTTGGAAAATTCAAACTCTATGTGCAGAAGTATGTAACAAGACCCCTACCTAACACCTTACACAAAAATCCACTCAAAATTTATCAAAGACCTAAACATACAACCAGGTATCATCAAATTACCAGAAGAGAACTTTGAGGAAATTCTGCAAGACATTAGCATAAGCAAAGACTTCTTGGAAAAGACCCCAGAAGCACAGGCAATCAAAGCCAAAACTGACAAATGGGATTACATCAAGCTGAGAAGCTTCTGCACTGCAAAGGAAACAGTTAAGAGCCAACTGACTGAATAGGCAAAAATATTTGGAAACTATTCAACCAATAAAGGATTAGTATCCAGTTCAAGAAACTCAAAAACAAGAAAAGAAACAATCCAGTTCAGAAATAGGAAAAGGACTTGAACAGGCATTATTCAAAAGAGGAAATTCAAATGGTCAACAGATGCTTGAAAAACCACTCAGGATCACTAACCTTCAGAGAAATGCAAATCAAAATCATGATGAGGTTTCACTTCATCCCCGTTAGAATGGTTTTCAGATAGAAATAAAAAAAATGCTGGTGAGGATGTGAGAAAAAGGTACACTAATCCACTATTGGTGTAAATGTAAACTAGTACAACCATTGTAAACAACAGTATGGAGATTTCTCAGAAAATGAAAATAGATATACCATATGACTCAGCCATCCCACTCCTGGAAATTTCCCAAAGGAAATGAAATGAACATGTGAAAGAATTATCTGTACCCCCATGTTTATTGCAGCTATAACCAACCCAGATTCCCATCAATAAATGACTGAATTAAGAAAAAGTGGTACATATACAGGATGGAATACTATTCAGTCATAAAAAAGAATGAAATCCTTTCTTTCACAATAAAATGGATGCAATTGGAAGATATTATACATAGTGAAATAAGCCAGTCCTCAAAAGACAAATATCATATATTTTCACTGATCTATGGTAACTAATAGAGTAACAGAATGTAATATGTAATTATTTCATTGCAATCTGCATAAAATTATTTTGTGTATAAACTGTGGAGAGGTAATGGCTTAAAGTTTAAATGAATTTAATTATTATCTTATTATCACACAAGAAATATTTAGATGTTATGTTATCATTGGTTGTATTTCATTGAAAGAAATTATTAATGGCTAATTGACCAAAAAAAGTATATGGGTGAAATGGTCATTTATATATTCAATCATTATTTATAGCTCTTGTCTGTATTCTCACTAAACTACAGTCTTTTTGATTTTTGCTTGTTAAATTTCTTATTTGGTAAAGTATCAAGCTTTTTATGGTAATGTAAGTTTAAAATATGTTATCTCAAAAATGAAGGAAAAAAAGAAGAGAGGGTAGAAGGAAGAAGAGTGGGCGAGAGGAAAGGAGGGAGGAGGGAAATATTATTATGTTCTTTGACTTATACCTACAAATTGTATTGAATCTTTTAAAAATTAATTAAAATGAAAGTGAAAAATACAGAAAAATCCACTATGTTGTTGACTTGTTTTAATATTTATAGGAAACTAATGCAGAAGTTGTGTGCATTTGTTTTTTTAATTTATCATCAAAATTATTTATTATTTTAGAATAGTCACATATGAAGAATGTTATTTGTTACATTCTGTTTGCTCCATTCATGCACCTTTCAGAGTCAACTGGAATATAAATGAAGAAACCATACTCTCCATTTATGACCCCTGGCTGTTGGGATCAAGGTTGGAGTGCTTCTCAGGCCTTTCTGGTTCCTGTGCCTGTGGACATTTTGGACGTGGGAAAAATAGTCTGGAAAACACCCACAGCTTACTAATTTAAGAACAGAGAGTTATATTTTCTTTCCAAGATCCTATATATACACATATATATTTTAATGTATAAACACTGATAACCATTTTTGAGTTATATGGACAAATTTAAAGATAACCCCTAATAAATGAGCCAATAGCTGCCTATATTATATGAGTTTCTAATTGTCATTATTATTTACCTTATTTAATTAATGTGCAGTTCATAAATCAATGTTGGAAACTGAATGCTAGCCATGTAAATGCTTATAACATGACTTAGTATTTGCTGGTAAAAATTATTCAACTTAGGAAAAAAGAGGAATTCAGAAAGATCTCTATAATGGAAGTTTCTATGAGGTAAACAAGTTGCCTCATGTCTTTAATCTTCCTTAGCCTTATTTTTTTTTTTTTTACAAAGGGTAGAATAAAATGATCTCTATGGTGTTTTGGAGCTCTAAAAATAGTTTATTTATGCAATAATCATTCAGTCTGTTAAAGGAAAACGCTATCCAAAAAGATAAAAAATAATAGGAATATGAAAGCCCTTTGGCTCTAATGAAGTCAGGTGGCACTGTTAAGACATCGATAGGAGCCTGGAAAAGCCATTTAATGATTCAAAATATCATTCGCACCCTTGCTTAGTTTAATTTCAATTATTTGCATATTCATGCAATGGCAATTCATCCTAGCCATTCACAAGGCTCAGTGCCAAGGTAGTCAACAGTCTGGTTGACTGTTTTTGTCTTTTGAAAATTGATCCAACAAATTTATTCTGAGTCACTCTCACCATCTGCTATATAATTGTGGGTTGAGTGAAGGACAATAGACATCTCAGTGTTTCAGAATGGAAATTCCACTTAGGGGTGTGGCTGTGATCATATTGGCAAAAGACCATGAAAACAAAAGTCACAGTTGTCAAAGAGCTAAGGTAATCACAATGATAGCATTCTAGAATAGTGGTCACTCATTCACTGTTTCTTTTATTTCTTCATATTTGATTGTATAATTCTTAAACAACTGAATTGTTAATAACACAGCACATTTGCATAGTCCCTTTACAGTTCCAAATAATGCCATAAGTAATATCAAATTTGACCCAATAAAAACTGTTGAAAACAAAATTAAACAGCAAATATAACTTGAGAACATATAATTTCTTTCCACACTAAGGTATTTAGTGGTTTTAATAAGATAAAGGAAAGTGATATCACATTTGTCAAAGGCCATGAAAACAAAGTATTAGTGGATACCTTGACATCTTCATGAAATAACAAGAGAAATGCTGTCAGAAGTCTGAAGATTAATGTCTGTTTAAAGTACTTAATACTTCTTTTCATTAAGATTTGTTTATTTATTTGAAAGGCAGAGTTACAGAAGTGGAAGGAAGGAGGGAGGTGGGGAGGGAGGGAGGGAGGGAGAGAGAGAGAGAGATCTTCCATCTATTAGTTCACTCCCCAAATGGCTGCAATGGCCCAGGCTGGGCTAAGCTGAAACCAGGAGCCAATAGCTTCATGTGTGTCTCCCACTTGGGTGGCAGGGGCCCAAGCACTTAGGCCATCTTTGGCTGCTTTCCTAGATGTATTAGCACAGATCTGGGTCAGAATTGGAGCATCTGGGACTTGAACTGGTGCCTACAGGATATGCTGGCATTTCAGGTGGCAGTTTAGTCCAGTGTGCCACAGTGCTGGTCCCAAGAATTTCATGCTTCTGTAAAATTAACAACCATATGAAAGCCGTTGTCTTATTAGGACTTGTTAATGGAAATGAAGATTGTTAGGCAATGATTATGAAGGTGAAGGACAATTCAATATCAGATATTGGGAATTTACTTGGATAGAGGTATGTGTACGAGAGACAACTGTAAAGACTGTTTCTTAAACCAAAGCTAAGGATCAGTCTTGTAAAGCCACAAGCCACTATTTTGTGCAAGGAAAAGTGATTGAATTTTCAGTTCAGAATTTTATTTGTTGGTTAAAGAAGAATGTGATTGTTGAACCCCAAGTGATTGGGTGATTGTTGAGCCCCAAGTCCTTTATTGGTTTAGATAGTTGCAGGTTCACCATTAGTATTTTTAAAAAATATTTATTTGGAAAGCAAAATTGAGAGAAAGAGAGAGGGAGAGAGAGAGAGAGAGAGGGAGAGAGAGAGAGAGCAAGAGCAAGAGAGATAACTTACATTTGTGGTTTCACTCCCCAAATGGCCAGGAGATTCTTTTGGGTCTCCCATGTGGGTGCAGGGGCCCAAGGACTTGGGCCATCTTCCATTGCTTTCTCAGGCCATAGCAGAGAGCTGGATTGGAAGTGGAGCAGCTGGGGCTTGAATCAGCACCCATATTGGATGCTGGCATTATGGGCAGAGGCTTTATCCACTATGCCCCAGTGCTGGCCCCTATAGCTACAATTCTAAGAATATAATGATATGTCCATTCTTTCACTCTCATTCTCTCTCTCTCTCTCTCTCTCCCTCTCTTTTATTCTTTGTTCTTTCTCTCTTTATTTTTGACATAAAATATTTTTAATTTACATTATTGTCAAAGGCTTAAAGTAAGAAGACCTCTGAATCAGTGGGAATATAGGCAAGGACTATAAACAGTAAGAGTTGGCATAAATGATTAATCAGCAACATACAAAGCTATTCTTTTCTCTGATGTGCTGATGGCATTTCTAAGGGGGTTATCACTGTAGAGGTATTTTCAGTTTGGACTCTAAGACAGAGACACTTTTGCTGCAAATTTTTTTTTTTAAACTCAACAGATAACATGGGCCAGAAATCAAAGGAGAAAATTGTACATTAAAAGCACAGATATGTTATCCAAAACCTATATTTTGAGCTAGCACTCAGCAAATTAAACTTTAATCATATTGGTCCTGAAACAGGAGTCCTTGGGTGGGTTTGAGACAAGAGCAATACGAGACGTGAGAAAGAGATTCCAAATGGAGCTGTATGGGCTTGTGCTAGACAAGCTGTCTAAAGATTAGTACGGGTTTCCCAGGGGAGGGAAATAGTCGGTGATAGCAGACTCAAAGTGCACATTTTATTGTTTACAAAGTATAAAGGCAACATATTTTTGTGTTTATCATTGTATATGTAAAATATATATGCAAGTATTTATCATTTCAAAATCAAAGACTTCCTTCCACACCCAGTTTGACATTTAAGAGACAAATATATCTGAATATGAAAGTTTCTCAAAAATTACAAAAATAAAAATTCTGGCTCCCCAATTTGGCAAAACAGTGACAGGTTGTACTTTTAGGCTTCTGTTTCAGTAAAGTATATACCTCTAAATATGTTTCAGTATTTGTCTTAAATCTTATCTCACTTATTCCTTTTAACTGTACACTATTCACTGTTTTAGCCAATGTGCCATCATTTTCTCAGTCAACCATCGAGCCTTCTTAGTTTCTTTCTAAGCATTAGACTTTTTTGATCCCACTTCCTCATCTCTTCCTGTATAAATGTGGGAGTCAAACTTAGTTTTGGCTGGTTTTCAGAGACTGTGAATGGACATTGGATGTAGAGATGGTGTTGGGCTGGCTCAGGGTGCAGGGTTAGCACCGCGAACTGGACAAAAGCTTTCCAGGCAGAGCTCGCTGGGCTACAAAATGAAAGGATCAAATCTGAGGTTCCCAGAAGTTGTTTTGTGTGATGAGGCCAGGCATGCATACTCAGGTGCAACCTCTGATTTCCTTTTGCATGTCCTCTGTTATTGACCTTTATTAGGAAACTCTTTTGGGTATTATTATGAAACTAAAAATAAATATAAAGGAATGAATGTAAAGTGTAAAATGGAAAAGATGAAAAAATAGGAAATGGACTGTTGTGGAACAAATCTGGCAGACACTAAAAAATCCTGCTGTGAGGAGCAGGCATATAGTCTCTGTTAGGACACCTTCATGCAGGATCAGTGTGTTTGCATTCTATGCCCAGCTTTGGCTCTGGTCTCCAGCTTCCTGCTATTCCTGCCATCCAGGTGGGAGACCTGGATTGAGTTTTCAGCTCTGGGTTTTGGTATCCAGCCCACGGCAATTACAGGCATTACTTTGGGGATTGAACCAGCAGTTAGTAACTCTCTCTGTGTCTAGTCTATCTGTTCACCTCTTTAAGAAAATCCCTTTGTGAGATAACCTTGATATAAACATGAGTCATGGAGATGAAAAAGTAAAGATATGAATATGTACAGGGAGAATTTTTGTGTTGTAAATGGTGGAATATAGTGACTGATAGATAAGGAGTTGACAAGGATGCTGTACAAGGTTCTTAGTTTAAGAAGAGAGGCAAGTCTTGAGAGGAATGATAATGAATTTCCTGTTTAGAATATGTTGAATTTGAGATGTCAGAGTGTCCTCCAAGTGAAGATATAGAATAGGAAATTATATATACAGGCATGGTACTTGTGAGATTTTTGAGCAAATGACAATACACTAACAGCGGCAATAATAGTTATATATATAACAGTATATCTATCTATCTATCTATCAACTGTGTGGCTAATTGTATTTCCATGCTGTACACAAAATATTTTCTTTTTTTTAAGGTTACTGATTTTTAAAATTTTGGATTAACATTCAATTTTACATTATTATGGGATGCAATATTTCAATAGATATGCATAGCATAAACCAATGATACTGGGTTATTAGCTCTTCCATTTCATTTATCATGAATTATAGCTACCCGACTGTTCTGTGGAACACCAGAACCCATTACCTTTACCCAATTGTGTTTTGATGCCCAGTATCCAGTTTCTGCTCATCCTCCACCATTCTCATCAGTTGGTAATCACGGTTTTAGAATCACAAAGGTTGTGTGTATAACCCTGCACCTGCAGGGCAGCTCACCACCACCTTCACTGTGTATGTATATGTGTGTGTTATATATCATATATATATACATATGAGATGTATGTATATAGTACCCAAGATGTATAATCAGCCTAGATGTCTATCTGTGGATGAATGGATAAAGAAAAGATAATATATATACACAATGGACTATTATGCAATCATAATAAGAATGAAATACTGACATTTGCAACATAATGGATGGAGTTGGATATCATCACATTAAGTGAAATAAACCAGATATACCAAGTGTTTTCTGTTCTATGCGTCTGTCTCTATCTCTGTTCTTATGCCCGTTTCTTCTGTGTTAGACTGTCCTTTCCCTGATTCTAGATTTATTTCTACCAGGGACAACGTTTCTAGGTTGTGGCAACAACATTTTTTGACTTTCCAATACTTCCATACTTTACTCCCTCATTATTCTTCAGTTATTTTAGTGGTATTTTGGGAGTTTGCCATCTTGGAATTGAAGCCAGAACTGTGAATTGAGGCATTATCTGCTTGCTCAAGTTTGATCACATTTTGAAATGCATTAAACTTTTTATGATAATATTTAATGATTTCATTGTACCAAATTGCATTCCAGTGTAGTCTGAAAAATATGGCTGGGTTCAGCATTGTGTCGCAGCAGGTTAAGCTGCTGCCTGCAACACTAGCATTCCATATGAGCACCATTTGCATCACAATTGCTCCACTTCCAATCCAGTACCTGCTAACATGCTTGGAAAAGCACTGGAAGCTGGCCCAGTTCCTTGGACCCCTGGCATGCCCATGGGAGACCTATATGGTATTCTATGCTCCGGGCTTTGGCCTGGCCCACCTTGTTGCTGGGGCCATCTGGGAAAGTGAACCAGCAGATGTAAGATGGCTCTCTTCATCTCTCCCTCTCTCTGTGTCCTTCAAATCTATCAATATCAGTCAATATTTAAATAAACCAGAGCTTCAATGAAATGTTGATCTCTTCACTGTCATGGAAAAAATGATTCTAAACAAATTTAAGATCAAAATGCTCTAGTTTTCTCATCCTTCTTTTTCCAAAAAGAGAACACAAGAAATGATTCTTTATATATTTTTTAAAAATAAAATCAAAAGCTATATTGAAAATTTAGAGAATGTGAAAAAGTGCAGCAAGACATTTTTAAAAGCATCCACAACACTACCACCCATATGTAAGTACTGTAAATATTTGTATATATTTGTATATATTTCCGGGTGTCCCACATGGGTGCAGGGACCCAAGCACTTGGTCCTTCCTCTACTGTTTTCCAAGGCCATCAGCAGGGAGCTAGATCGGAGTGGAGAAGCTGGGATTGGAATCAGCGCCCACAAGGGATGCCAGTGCCATAGGCAGAGGGTTAGCCTACTACGTCACAATGCCAGCCCCCTCTAAATTATTTTTTAATTAATTAATTTATTTGAATGGCAAAGGATGAGAGCAAGATAGAAAGAGACAGACAGAGATCTTCTATTTTCTGGTTCATTCCTCAAATGGCTGCAACAGCTAGGGCTGTGCCAGGCTGAAGCAAGGAGACAAGAATGCCATCTGTGTTTTTCACATGTGTGGCAGGAACTCAGGTACTTGATCCATTATCTGCTACCTTCCAGGTGTATTAGTAGGAATCTGGGTCAGAGGCAGAAGTGGAACTCAATCCCAGGAACTGTGATATGGAATGTGGGTATTGTAAGTGCCAGGTTAACTTGCTAAGCCACAGCCCTGACCCCTAGTTTCTTTTCTATGCATAAATGTGAAAGCACGTATTTTTGTGTGTATACAGAAATACATTTTGTAAAATTAGGATACACTATTAATCCTTCTTTTAGTAATATAGCATAAGCACCTTCACCATATATTTTATCTTTAAGAATATTTTAGTAGTGGCATGTAGTCAATGATATTGATACTCCATAATTTAATTAAACTACCGTTGTTTTCAAAGATTTCTTTGCCTTCATAAATAGTTCTCAATAAGCATATTTATAAATAAATTTGCATGCCTATTTTAGTAAATACGAGAAAACTCCCTGAAGGGTGTGAAGGTTAGCTGGCTGTGACACGGAACACCCATTGGTCACCAGGGTATTTTCAGTTTAATTGACTGGCTAGATGCAAGTCCCATTTGAAACCACCTGGTCCATTCGACAATCAGAGATAAAGCAGAGTGTTCTTTGCTTGTGGTCTTATGTGTAGCTGCATGGGCTTGATAACTAGTCTCCAGAGGTAGCCTCCTAATGAACCACACCTCCAGATACTCACTCCCCTGTGCAGTCCCCTGTCCACCTTGAATTTATGTTGCCTCTGTGAAAATAACAGGAAGAATTGCTACATGACTTTCATGAGTAGTCTACAAGAAATTATGCAGCCTCTTTTTGTATTTCTGTAATATTCATTCTGGGGAAGTCAGTCAAAATATATTAAATAAAAACCCAGCTATATTAAGAATGTCATTTCAAGGAAGTCCAATGAGGAAACATGAGAAAAATGCTTTGATATTGCTTTGTTTTCTTCTATATTTGTTACCACATATAAAATAGACCTTTGAATATTTCATTTTCACTTTCAGTGTAAAGAACACATAAAAGTATTGCAAATAGCCAAGAAGAAAAACTAGCAGGACTAAAGCTTGGACAGCCTTCAGTTGAGCCAGCTGAAGTCTCAGATGTATGAGTGAAGAAGTCTTCTTGGACAGTCAGCTCAGCTGAGTCTGAAGATAGCTCCAGACCCAGTCATCATTTTATTAAAACCATTGAGGGATGGTCATTTAGCCTCGCTGTTAGCACATTTCACGTCCCACACCAGCATGCCTGACCCTGATAGCCACCTCTGTCTCCTGGCTTTAGCTTCCTGCCAATGCAGACCCTGGGAGGCAGTGATGCTGGCTCAAGTTACTTGGGTTCCTGCCACCCACTTGGGAGACCTGGACTGAGTTCCTGGGTGCACTGGGTTCCTGGCCTAGCCAACCCCAGTTGTTGAAGGCATTTGGAAACTAAACCAGAATATGAGAGTTCTCTCATTCTCCCCTTCCTTCTCAAATAAAAAAAAAATCCTATATGAAAATGTGAAGCCTCAGTGAGTTTAACAACCCAGGAAGGCCAATAAGCATTCAGAATTAGAAAAGGCAAATAACTTGTTTTTAGGGCTATCTAGTATGAAGCATTAGATAACTGGAGCAATGGGCATTTGGAGAGTACTTCTAAAGTTCATGGAAAGTGTATTATATTAAATAAAAAGCTATGCATTGATTTCAAGAATTTTTGCACCACAGTAAACTTATTTTTTAATTTCCTTTGCTCAAGAATTTATTGAAGCAGCCTCATTTGTTTGATAGAAATACTTGGAAAGACTTCCATGCATCCCCTTAAGACCAGCCCTCTTCTGTTAGATTGAATTCCCAGAGGAAATCCTGAAGGGCCACACCAAGAGGTGCGTGGAAACAGAGCCATTGACTCTTAAAGACAACTTGGGAGACTGTGTACAGTTGGATTCAAGAGGAAGATGCTACTCCTATTGCAGTGTTTTCTTCTGTATTTAGAATAAATGATAGGCCTTTTGAATTTTCTCATTCCGTGGAAGGAATCCCTAAAAATGATGTCAGTGTAGGAATTATATTTAGTCCCAGTGTGAAACAAACCAATGAACACAACTTACTTCAAAATTATGAGCTAGAATATTTATTAGGTTCATCACAGCAATCATTCTCATTACTAACATTTATTTAAATGAGCAAAGCATGTGACGTTAGGTGCTCGTATTAAGGGTATGTTCCTAAAGAAATAAGGTCTGAAATCAACTCTGTTTCCTACAGTGATAGCAAGTGGCATCTTTATTTTTCCTATGTAAGTTAAATCATCCTTATCAATGCTGCTGAAGTTATGAACTGTTTGCTGTCTGCTTCTAGCACCATGGGAGCACCCTATAAAAAGAAAACATGATTATGGTCCATGAACAGGTTAGAGCAGGTAAGACTAAACATCAGATAAGACCGTTACAGGAGTGGAATCACTTCAAGTCCTAAGCAGTAACCAAAGTTGGCCAGGCCTGCAGAAGGACACTTTAAAGAGACTCAGAAAGGCAATAAACCAGAAAATCAAACCTCTGATAAGGAGAGGATGCTTTCTAGAAGTGAGTGTGATGGGGAGATGCATTCAGATTTGATAAGAAAAGTTGCCAAGTTCTTACAAAGATTATGTATGGGTATTCAGGTTGAGAAATGAATAAAAACAATGTTTTCCAAAGAACATGTCAAAATTAATGTTATAGCATAGATTAAGAAACACATCATAGCTTTTCTTTTTTTTTAAATTATTTTATTTTGTTTAAGGAATACAACTTCTCTTTTTCTCCACAGTAGGAACATGCTATTTTGCTCCTATAATTGTGGATCTGTTATATCATTTATTGGTCCTTGTATTTCGGTTTATAGTCCTTTTTTCCTGAAGCTTCTCCAAAATTGGAATTATTGGATAGAAATGCACTCTTTATTAACATAATTTTGCTATATTCTAAAAAAAACCCCTAGGTTTGAAGTAGATTAGTAGGCTATACAAACCCAAATCAGTCATATTACATTAAAAACAGACTTTGTAATACTAATAATTTTGTTAGTATCAGATGCCAAGCACAGCCTTTCAGATGTAAAGAGAATGACAAGGAACAAGAACACCATAAAAAGTGGCACCAGGGCTGAGAAACACCTTCTGGCAGATCCACGTGGGTCACTGAGTATTTCTTGTGTGTCCCTGTTCGTAGCCACCCATCCTGATTTTCCAGTATGTGACCGCTGTTCTCAACTGTTGATCTATCAAATTTCCATCTTAGAGTTATGATAAAGATTTAGATGACTTCTCCATGACTGAACCTTTCAGATTACTAAAGCCGTCCAATTTTGCTTATTGTTTCTCAGCACAGGTTTTGCAAGTACAGGAAGTATAAACCGCTGGTTTTGATTTTACAAATCCCTGGCTAACACTGGGCACGGATTTGAGGTGCTGTGTAAGGTGCCCTGAATACGTATATAGATGGCACCAGAATTACCCTCAACTCCACCTTTCTTGTGCTTCTGGGCTATTTAACTATCACAAGAATTTTTTTTTTCTCAGTGATTTAAGATGCAGCTTCAGATTCCTTCTCAACACAACATTTCATGGAGCTGCAGCCAATCAAAAGGAATTGATAAGTAGATTAAAACCTAACTGCCATTCATGACACCCAGGAAAGTGTAAATTCAAAAATGTTCTTGTAATCTGTCAAAGTCACCTTTAGAAATTTAGATTTCCCCTTGCCTTTCCTAAATAGATTTTTCACTTTAATTAGATGTATGATTACTTTTCTTGTCTTTATACATAGGGGCTGATCAGCCAAATGTAAGTGTTTAGTTATAACCTTGCAAATTCAGAAAGAAGCTTTAAATCAGGATGAAAAAAGAAATCAATGAGTTTAATTAACACCATTGTTGAGTAGTCAGCAACTGTTTTGAACTTCTAACTTTTCAAAATAAAAAATGAAACTTTAATTTTATTATTCTGAAGGCTTTAAAACAAACTGTATTTATATCTTTGTTGTTAACATCTATCAGTTTTCAGATGAGCTAATATCTGCAGGTAGAGCTTGACACATGTAGCTTTATTGATTTTTTTTAAAAAAATTCTTTATTTATTTGAAAGGCAGAGAGAAACAGACACATCTCCCTTATGTTGGTTTATTCCCCAAATGCCTGCAACAGTTGGGGCTGGGCTAGATTGGAGTCAGGAGCCAAGAACTCAAACGAAATCTCCCATGCGGATGACAGGGACCAAATTACTTGAGCCATCACCTGTTATTCCCATGGTGCTCATTAACAAGAAGCTGGAATCAGGAACAGAGTAGGTACTCTAACCCAAGCACTCTGATAGAGGATGTAGGTGTCCAGGCTGTGTCCTAGCACTGCACCAAATACCCACTCCCACATGTAGCTTTAGATACTGATCAAGAGTATTTTAAAATTCCTATCACAACATTGAAATTCAGAGTTCATAAAAAATAGTATTACAGAAATTCAAGAAAATAGCTTGCTTTCAGTATTTTCTTGCATGCTATCTTCTGCATGAGACCTCTCTTGACTTTCTTTTTAAAACCTCAGTAACTCACAGACCATCTGATTTCTTCATTTGTTCCATTGCCAAAGCTACATGAACAGTTTCATACTTTCCCTATTTCACTTCTAACGTCCCATACATTTCACTTATTTGTTATGTTTATCCACCAATGGGTTCTTGGTGTAGAGAACTATACCCAGCATATAGTGGATGCTAAATGAATATTTGTTGACCAAATTGAATTCATGGACTATTTTTAAAAGGCCAATTACATAATTTTGAAGAGGGAAGCAGTAGGCATCTAGATATTTATAACTTGCATATTTACAACTGCTGGAGTATCTGTATTTACAAGTGTACATTTATTTATTCATTCCACAGGTATCTATTGATTTTCTTCTGGGTATCTGCCCTCAGAAAAAAGCGGTTTTTGGTCTCTCCAATTTTGCAGATTAGTGGAGGAAGCTATAATACAGTTTTATAAATAGTATTATTAAGACAGTCTCAGAGTGATAGGATATATCTAGGTATCTTTGTCCTAGGCTGACTGGGTCCAGGTTCTTGCCTCCAATGCAAGGTAGAATTTGAGGGAAAGATGTAGGCAAAGGTCAGCAGACAAGCAACATTTATTTGCAGACAAAGTGAAAGTTCACACTTAAGGAGTGCAGACAAGCTCAAGAGAGAACTGCATTCAGTGAGATTTTGATTCATCCCTTTTTTCTGCCAAGGGCTATTTGCATATTTGTAACATCACTTGTGTGCCATGCAAAATTATCAACTTAAAAATTAGCCTGCTTTAGATTTATTGAATTGAGTCCTGCCTGCGGTTGCCATGGTAGGGCCAGACCCAAAGACTTTGCAGACCTTATGGGGGCGAGATGTTCTCCACCACCGCAAGACGCGGGGGTGGCGCCAGGGCTGTACTTGAATATTCATAAAGGATGGGGTTTGAGGCAAGGCTTGAGCGCCACCCATTTCCTTGCCGTTCTTTGGAAATCTTGGCCAAGTCGTGGTGCCAGGAGCATGGTGGGAATAGGTGTGTCAGGCATAGTATTTTTATTATAACGACTTAATAATTAGCTAAATGCCATCATGTGGATGCAGCTGGCAGCCCTTTTGGGTCAGTTCTAAGCAGTGAAACTGCAGTGGCCATGGTTTCCTGCTGCACAGGAGGGGTGGTGTTTGGGTGGCGCAGCCAGGTTGCCCTGCAAGTGGGATTGCAACAAGGGGTCGGTGCCCCCGCTCCTTTTTGCTAGCTACTGCCCGACTATATCATTTTAAGATAGCGCTCTAAACAGAAGATCTATACCACACTTTGTTTTAATTTTTTGTTGGCCTCAAGGATCTTCACATGGAGACTGTATGAATGTGTGTGTGTATAATTTGCTTTCAAAGGTAATGGAAGGAAATTATTACAAGGGTTATTAAAAATAACTTTAGAGAGGGAGTGATTTACTTTGATCACCAACCTGGAATTACAAGGAGGATCTTCAGAAGTTAAAGGGAAATACATTTGATGACAAAGCTGTCCATGGATTTCAAAATGTTTTCACACCAAGATAAATTTATTTAATTTCATTTCTGTGAACTTTTTGAAATAATTTTTTAAAATAGAAAATGATTCAAAATCTTTCTTCTATTACAACTTGATTTCTTCTTGTTCATGTCATTTTACATGGTATTTGAAATGCAAAAATCAGAATATAATAATAGAAAATGAGTAAATTATGATATTTGTCATAAAATTAGTGCTAAATTGTGTGTGTGTGTGTGTGTAATTGGAAGCACCCTTTGATTCTTTTTTATATAGCTTCTAACTTAAAAAGTATATCTAATTTAAAGATATGGGATTTAAAGTTAGAAGAAAACTTAGAGAATAACTGAGGTTTTGGGACCAGTGTTGTGGCATAGTAGATTAAGCTGCTGCCTGCATTGTCCACATGCCACTAGTTCAGGTCCCATTGCTCCACAACGGATCCAGCTCCCGGGTAACACACCTGGGAAGGCAGCAGAAGATGCCAGTGCTTGGGCCCTGGTCAACCATGTCGGAGACCTGTATGGAGTCCTAAGCTGCTGGCTTCAGTCTGGCCCAGGCTTAACCATTGTGGACATTGGGGAATGAATTATCAGATGGGAGGTCTCTCTTGATACCTCTCTCTCTCTTTTACTTTGCCTTCCAAATAAACAAATAAATAAGTAATCTACAAAAGAACAAAAAAGAAAATATCTGAGGTTTTATTTTACAAATGAGAAAACCGAGCTCCAAATAACTGAATGAACTTGACAGAAGTCTCACAGTTAATACAACAATGGAATTCAACACCAGTTTGCTGATTGTCAGTCTGGACTTTCTAGTGCACCTTTCTGTAGTTGATTTAATGTGGTACTCCTAGGCTTTGCCTGGCTTGGAAAGGAGTTTCTGTGTAAGCTATCTTGTCCTCAGAGTACATACAGTAAACATCCCTTGTAGAACATGTCATTGAGGATGCAATTATGCTAGATAACTTTTAACTTGTTTCTACAAAATACTTTTCAATGGGATTCATTTTTTTTACATTATAGTACAAATCTTTTAGATTTTAAATCAGAAAACTACGTATTCTTAGGTGAATTTTATTTTTCTAGCAAGAGCTGAAGTGTATGAACATACTGATTTCACCCCCCAAATTCATTTGAGACCTTTTTTTTTTTTTTTTTTTTTAGAAAAAAAAAATGAGTAGCTGGTTAGGTTTTTGCAGGCTTTTGCTTTGCTCCTTTGATTACAGGTGAAACAAAGGGAAAAACAGGATACATGTTGGATTAACAAACAGGATGGAGAGGCTGCAGACTGGGGACAGAGTCTGTTGACTGCCTTTCCTGATGGTATAATTAACAGCATTTGCAGCAATGTGCTCAGTCAGAAGACACTTAATTCACTCTATCTGGTGATTATGAGAGTGATGAATAAGACTTCTATTATCTTTTGAAAAGGTATTTGATCATGTCCCTAACTACGATAAAGGAAGAGAAATGTTCCCATTATCGTGAGTTTAGAATTGCGAAAATGTAGCAGAAACCCATCCTGACCTTCAAGGTAGTGTGAAATGTGCCTGCTGTTGCTTTCACTTCCCATGTACTAAGTGTCATCGAGTATAAGGAAATGAAGTGCAATTACTCATTTCTTGACGTTCGTTTATTTTCAGCACTTAAAGTGTGGATGGATTTCTGCCTTCAGACACTCCTCCTGTTTGTTGCTTCCCTTTGTTGTCAAGAGTCTGGCGATCGCTTGCCTGGGCATTATCAGCCCTGTGCTTTTTCTTTTGGAAGATAATAAAGGTCAAACATCCCCCTAGACCAGTGAAGTATGTTCAAATCAATAAAGCAGGATTCAAATAGCTCAGGGAAAGCTTCAGAGTTTCATCTGCCAGACGATTGTGAACACCAGAAGGTACTTGTTTTTATTTGTTTTTCTTTTTTAAGACTCCAACACAATTGACACACAAAGTAATTTATTTGCCTTTTGGAGCTTTCTAATAGAATAAAAAAAAGGGATAGTACTGTAATGAATATCTTCACGGCACAAATCTTGGATTATATTGGTATTGCATGGGTCAGTTAGAAAAAAAAGTACTTTGATTTATCGCATGAGATTTTACTTTAGTTATAGAAATGTGAGCCTCATAGGTAAGCACTACTTAGATAAGAATTTGTGAAATGAGTTTGTTGGTGTTTGATGGGTCAACCTTAAATAATTAGAATATGGAAAGTTTTTTGTTATTTCAAAATGTGAGATATAAATAGGCCATTTTTGTTTGTTTTAACCTTTGGCTGTATAAGTCAGTATTTCTTGCCCCAACAGTTTTAATTAGCATTTATTATTCTAAAAAAAATAGAAGAGTGGCCACTATTAGATTTTGTTTCTTCCTTTTGTCTTTAAGATCTGGTATTATGTGTTTTAGCCCATTTGTGTTGTTACAACAAAATACTATAACCTGGTTAACTTGTAAATAAGAGAAATTTATTTCTTGTATTTTGAGTGGCTGGGGAGTGCATAATCAAGGCTCTAGCAGTCAGTGTCCTGACAGAGCCACTTCCTGTTCATAGATGGTGACTTCTCAATGGGTTCTGCCGTGGTGGAGGGGGTGAATGAACTACCTTGGGCCCACTTTATAAGGGCATTAATCCCATTCGAAAAGGCTCTGATTTATGACATAGTTGACATCCTATTAGGTCCCCTCACCTAATACCATCACCTTGGGAGTTAGAACTTTAACATAAATGTCAAGAGAACACTGACATTCAAACCACAGCATGGCTTTTGTTGGTTTTAATTGGCTTATTTACATTTTTGCTTGAAGGGAAGAATGACACAGAGAGAGGGAGAGACAGAGAAAGATATTCCATCTGCTCATTTAGTACCCAAATGGCCGCAACAGTCAGGGCTGGGCCAGGCTGAAGTGAAGTGCCAGGAACTTCATACTGTCTCCCATGTGGGTGACAGGGACTCAAGTACCTAAGCCATCATCAGCTGCTTCCCAGGCACAGTAGCAGGGAGCTGAATTGGCAGTGGAGCAGCCAGCACTGGAACCAGCACTCTGATATGCAGTGCCGGTGTCGGGAGCAGTGTCCTAACCTGCTGCGCCACAACTCTGCCTGAGGGTGTTCTGTTCTAGTAGAAGTTCCACCAGTGAGAATCCACTGAAGTAAGTGTTTGTATTCATGCCAATCTGTACCTCAGTATAGTATTGACTGGCATTGTAAACTTATCCTGCAAAACAGAACATAACTGCAAACTGTCCTTAAGAAGTTTTGAGGCAGAAACATGGGAGCATCACTTGATTCACATTAAGGATTGGTTAACTGATAATTCAAAGATGTAAAATTAGAAAACCTTTTGGAACCTTGTAAGTCTGACATAGAAATGTGAGTACAATAATGGAAGTCAAACATTAGAAATTTATAATTGCCGGTTTAATTTAAGCAATATATTTCAAAGAAATATAATTAGTTAAATCAACAATCAACTTAATGTTGCTACTATATACTGAGACAACTTGAGTAACCTCTGTTCGTAACCAAAAATTTTAAAGATTTTATTTATTTATTAGAGAGGTAGAGTTACAGACAGTGAGAGGGAGAGACAGAGAGAAAGGTCTTCCATCTGTTGGTTCACTCCCCCAATGGCCACAATGACCAGAGCTGGGCTGATCTGAAGCCAGGAGCCAGGGTCTTCTTCTGGGTCTACCCCAGGGGGATGCAGGGGCCCAGGTGCTTGGGCCATGTTCCACTGCTTTCCCAGGCCATAGCAGAGAGCTGTATCAGAAGAGGAATAGCCCGAATTCGAACTGGTACCCATATGGGATGCTTGCGCCACAGGCAGAGGATTAACATACTGTACCACAGTGCTGGCCCCACCAAACAGCTTAAAAATCACTTTAACATAAGTTGTTTTACTTGTTTCTCATGAGAGGTTGATAAGACTCTTCAACCCTTCAAAGTTCTTCAGTTTTTTAAATTCAATGTTTTTGTTATAGTAAAATATACATAACAAAATTTACCATTTCAACCATTTTTAAAAATTTCTGTTGATTTTTTTTGAAAGGTTGAGAGAGATTGTAAGAGGCAGAGAGAGATCTATCCGCTGTTTCACTCCCCACATCTCCATAACAGCCTGGGTTGGACCAGGCTGAAGCCAGGAGACTGGAAATCAATCCTGCACTGCCTCCAAGGCTGTGCATCAGTAGGAAGCTGGATCAGAAGCAGAGGAGTCAGAAATCAAACGAGGCAACCCAATGCTGATGTGGGTATCCCAGGCAGTGACCTAACTGCTGTGCCAATGGCCCATCCCCATCTTAACCATTTTCAAGTGTGCAGTTCAGTGGTATAGAATGCATTCACATTGTTGTGCAACCATCACCACCATTTATATACAGAATATTTTCATCTTCCTAACTGAAACTCTGTACCCGTTCAACAGTAATCCCCCCATTTCCTGCTCCCTCCCACCCTTGGCAGCCATCATTCTACTCTCTGACTTCTTTAGTTTGATTACTGTAGTTACTTCATATAAGGGGGATCGTAAGGTATTTGTCGTTTTGCTGCTCGCTATCTCACTCAGCACAATGTTTTCCAGGTTCATCCATGTTGTGACGTGTCAAAAATTTCTGGCTATTAATTCATGGTGTGTATACACTACATTTTGTTTGTATTTTCATCTGTAGATGAACATGGGTTACTTCCACCTTTTGGCTGTTGTGAATAACGCTGCTATGAAAATGGGTGTACAGATCTCTCTTTGAAACTGTGATTTCAATTGTTTTCAGTGTATGCTTAGAAGTGGTATTCCTAGATGCTATATTTAATTGTTTGAGTAAACATCATACTGTTTTCCAGAGTAGTTAAATCATTTTATATTCCTATCAGCAATGTGCAAGTTTTCTGATTTCTCTACCTTTTTGGTAACACTTGCTATTTTATTGAAAAAAAATTTTTTTTGACAGGCAGAGTTAGACAGTGAGAGAGAGACAGAGAGAAAGGTCGTCCTTCCCTTGGTTCACCCCCCAAATGGCCACTATGGCCGGCACTGCACCCATCCGAAGCATCCGAAGCCACAGGCCTCACTGAAATTTTTTTTGAATTCTTGGGCTAATAGAAGTGGTGTGCATTGCATTGTAATTTTGTTTTAAATTTCCCTAATGATTTGTGATGGTTAAGACCTTTTCATATGCTTATTGGTCATTCATATATTTTCCTTGATGAAATGTTTATTCAAGTTCTTTGCTAATCTTTTACTTTTTGTTGTTGTTTGTTATTAGTGATTAGTTCTTTATATATTCTGGCTAGTACTCTGTATCACAAAAGAAATTTACAGATATTTCATTCCATGTGTCACCTTTTCACTTTATTGAATGTGTCCTTTGATGCACAAAACTTTTTTATTTTCTGTGAAGCATATTTATCAATATTTTCTTTTGCTCCCTGTGCAGCTGATATTATATCCAAGAAATCAAACAGTGAGTGCATAACAAGTCAGGGCAGTTTCTGTTTAGTAGTACAAAATAAATCCAAGTTGCAAGGAATGGAGAAATTGAAAACAGCAAATACACACGACTTTTCTAAGGTGGTTTTGCTGCAAAAAAAAAAAAAAGAACAAAAAAGGATAGATAGATACATTATAGAAGCAGTACAGCCAAGAGCAAATTTTAAAGAGTAAGAAATAACAGCATGTTTGTGTGTTGCTGGGAAGTATTCAATGAGCAGGGGAAAATTCATGCAAAAAGCAAAGAGCTAGTTGCTAGAGCAATGTCGTTGAGTAGGTGAGTTTGAGAAGTCATGAGATTGGTCTCAGATAGGAGCAGAGAGTTTACCTATACCATCAGGAAGGAAGGGGAGGATATGGAGGTGCAGCTTTGTGAGTAGAAGTGGCACTGGAGCTCTACTGATGTGGTTTTGATTGATTGCTGAGTTTTCTTAAATAATTAAGAATGCGTCATAAGCTTACTGTGAGAGAAGGGAAGAGAAGGCATATGTTTATGATGCGTGGAAGATGTAGAAAAATCACCTAGGAGAGTAAGTGGGGTAGGAAATATAGCATAGTAGCCAGGCATTTCAGGGTTACACAAGCCACTCCTAGATTCAACTGATTTGTTAACAAGACATACAGGACAGGGCATACAGCCATATATGATTTCTTATGGTGAAAGAGCACAAAAGAAATTAAACAAGGATCACACGGTATCAGGACTGAACATCTAAGTGTAGTTTTCCAGCTGAGTAGCATGCTTAATTTCTTCAGTAACCAGTTAGGCAGCACATGTGAAATGCTGCTTCCAAGGAAGCTCAGTACTGGGAGTTGGTCATGCAGAAATTCTGAGTCTTGCTCATATTAAAGCTTTAGACTTCCAGGTGGAAAGCCAGTGTTCTGAATGAATCATCGTCCACACAAACAGTATAGGCCCAGTGAACCTTCTTATCAGGGAATGGTTGACTCCTTCCTAAAAATCCAAGTTCCAAGATAGCAGTCAAAGGCCAATTTTGTAAGTAGCTCTCTGTAAGGATAGCCTTAGACATCCCTGGTCTACAATGTGACTTCTTTTCTGCATGCTGGGATATACTTGAAAGCAGGACCCATTTAAAAGCAGTAGTCATCATTTTAAAGTAAGAATGAACAGCATAGCTGTGTTTTCTTTCCCATCCATTGTTTGGCATAGAAAGTGGAGAGTCAGATTTAACTTGGGTCAAAGTGTTGCAAGTCACTACATCAAATCATCAGAAATGCAAGTTGAGAGTGTATGAAGAGGAGCCGTTATAAATCTACTGTGAAATGAGAAGTGAGCAGTGAAGACAAAGCGGACATTGAAGGGTGATACTGTGAGGAGAGAAAAATAGAGGTCAGAAGAAATGAGGGCAAGGGACTATTGGAGAAGAAAAGGGAGGGAGTGGGAAGGAGATGAGGTGGTTAGAGGTGGAATGTATGGATCTCAGACTGTAAAGATGTAGCTCTTGATAAATACAAGGTCTAGGTTTGCCCAAGAGCTGAAGGGCAGGATAATTGAAAGAGGAACTTGTAAGAAGCTAAAGAACTTATAAGACAGCACTGGAAGGCCTTTCTGGGTGAAATAACCAAGAATTAAGTCATGAGTAGTGCTGGAGAGAACCACAGTGAACTTGTGGGTGATGCTTTTTAGAAATGAAGCAGAATGTCTTAGGAATTGGCCAATGATTGAACCATGAAGTATAGGAAGTAGAGTGTATAGAGACAAGATATTTAATGCAGGTGTGAGTGACAATGAAGCAGTGAGGAGAGGAGCAAGTTGTACCTCAAAAGCCAGCACATGGTAGGAAAACAGCCACTATTTTATAGGTCTGGATAGAAAGCACAGTCCTTAGAGAAAGCCAGGCTTCTGCTATATGTACCAAAACAGTGAAAGGAACTCCAAGAGGAGATAATGAAGACAGAGATTTGGATGGTGGTGGATTTTATTTCCATATTCAATTTAATTCTCAAAAGCATAATGCAAATATGTGGCAGGGTGGTGAGTGAGGAGGACCCTGTTAGAACTTTATGAGAGTTAAATTATTGGAGGTGAGGAAAGACCTCAGACACTGAGGCTTCTTTTTTTTTAATTTATTTTTTATCTTTATTATTTTTTTTTTGACAGGCAGAGTGGACAGTGAGAGAGAGAGACAGAGAGAAAGGTCTTCCTTTTTGCCGTTGGTTCACCCTCCAATGGCTGCTGCGGCCGGCGTGTTGTGGCTGGCACACCGCGCTGATCCGAAGGCAGGAGCCAGGTGCTTCTCCTGGTCTCCCATGGGGTGCAGGGCCCAAGTACTTGGGCCATCCTCCACTGCACTCCCTGACCACAGCAGAGAGCTGGCCTGGAAGGGGGGCAACCGGGACAGAATCCGGCGCCCTGACCGGGACTAGAACCCGGTGTGCCGGTGCCGCTAGGAGGAGGATTAGCCTAGTGAGCCGCGGCGCCAGCCGGTAATGGAAGTTACCAGGCAGTTGGACTCCTGACCTTTCCCAACATCTCTGGCAGAGCTCTTGTGCTTGACCTGTCTAATGGTAGAGGCAGAAGTTCGAGGGTAGGAACGGTGGTTGTGCTGGGGGAGGACCTGAATCAGATCTCTCTCGACCCTCGTTGAGGGAAAGATGCCCTCCCAGCTGGTCTCTGCTGAGCCTCTCAGGCACAGAAGGGCTACGGAGAACTTGGATCACATCCATCTCTCTCTTGTTCCTTCAACACTTCATCAACAGATAAAGTGTTAGCACTTGATTTATATCAGAGTGAATGTAAGTCAGTTTCATAAATAGTTTTGGAGATGAGTCTGAAAGCCTGAAATACGGGAAAGAGAATAGCAATTGAAAAAAACAAGAGTCCATTTTCCTGTTTTCTATTCCTTCATTCAGATGGAGAAATCGTCATCCAAAAAGGCACCAAAGCTGGAAAGGGAAGGACAGAGGCAGAAGCTACTTTTAGAGTAACTTGGTAGTGAGGTTTTTATGTTCACATGTAAATTGTTTATGTGTAAGTAAAAGACAGAATATAATGAATTCTCTAACTAGACCAGGTAAAATCATTGTCTAGGAGCACTAAACAATGAAAGCAAGAAAAGTGGGATTTTGAATTCTTTGTGCAGTCAGTTCTCTAAGTCTCAGAGAAAAAGAAAGGTTGTATTTAGAGAGTGAGATTTTTTTTCTTATGCTTTAAATTCATCTTGGGCGTAAAAAATACTTTCCTTACAGTGAAAAGGATTGTTGATACTTTGCACCTACATACACTGTCTGTCCTAAAAGTTAGCATAGCTGCAGTATCCTCCATACTATTTTCATCTCATCAGGGAGCCAATTTGGAACTAAAAACAGATCTGAACAGATTTGATAGGGCAAAGCATTTACTGATTTCATATAATTCAACCTGTATAACTGCCCTACTTTGTAATAGTTTGATAATACACCTGATCAAAAAGCACTACAGTAATGATTCTAAGAATCATAATACAATATTGACTTTGCTCATCTCATCTGCTTCCAAATGGACCCCCCCCCCCCCACACACACTGGAAAACTCATCACTGTGTAACTTTTAATCATTTTCTAGTGAAGAGTTGCCTAGCTTCGCAGTTTGTCAGCACTATCTGAGGTGTTGACTGGCTTCTTAATTAAAAGGGAGACACAAACTGGTGCTGGGGTTTTTGAGTCTGTAGTTTCCTGTCATCATCAATTACCCCATGGTTCGTTTTGAGAATTTTCTTAGGCCTGGGACTCCAGAAGAAAACAATGAACTTGGGTCCGAGATTCACAGGTATGGATGAGACCTAAATCTTTACTAACTAATTATAGGTTGTTTGTGAAAAGAGGAACGTTGGGCTAAGATGAACAGTGGGATTGGACATGGTAGAAGACGTGTTTGGATTTAAATCCTGGCTCTGCCTCTTACGGGCTCTATGACCTTGGACAGGTTGCTTGATTATTCTGAGCCTCAGTTTGTCTGAAGAGTGTATATGCTGCAGCAGTGTTGTGAGAGCCTGGAAATACCTTCAGTGACGTTCGTGCTGTGTGATAAGTACTTGCTTTTTATTACAAAGATTTCCATTAATCCTATGATGATGTATGGATTTTTACATTGAAATTTCCTTCTGTTTTTCTTTTATTCTTTAAGGAGGGGAGGAACATTTTTTTTCTCTCCTCCCTGTTTAAGCTCCAGCATAGACAAATCTATCCCCTAGAGTACATCTTGTTCATGCCTTGTCTGACATTTGGATTAAAGCAGCTATATTGGATGCCTCTGAGCTTCTTTCTGTGTGTGCGTATCAGCCGGAGGGCTAGTCAATGCCGCTGTTCTAATGTGCTATAACAACCTGTTTTGTTTAAAGGCAAGGCTGTCATTTGATGGAAGAATCACGTTTATGAACATTCCCATTTGCTTTTCTAGTAAAGACATGTGACAACTAATCTCATGTATTTTTCATCCAAAAGGAGTAAATGCTTTCAGTTTGTAACAAATTGACCTTTAAGCTCTATTTAAACTGGAAAGTGGACGCTGTTAGTTTTGATATTTGTTGTGTTTGAAATTTTACAGGAAAAAGATCAGCAATATAGAGAATTTTTTCTACGCCATTAAAGTATAGTAATTTCATTGTCTTTTTGTGAGAAATGAGGAGAATGGTTGCCAGGAGACTAAAATGAATCTTAGGATATTAGATGAAAAAAATTTCCCCTACCAGCTACTAGAACAAAACCTGCAAAGGGAAAATACTCACAGCAGCATTCCCCAATGGCTGGAGCTTTACACTTGGTTGGACACATCAATAAAACTTGTCCAGAAAATAAAGCCAGATATTTTATGCCTACACATATTTGGGGATAAGAGACTTTGAAGCTTCCTCTTTCAAATTTGTTTTATACCCTCAAATTATTGTAGTCTTTAACTTGCCTATATTGGTTGACCAGCATCAGGTATTTTAAATCCCTTTCACACCTATCATTATTTCTTATTGTTCCTATACATATATTTTCATTTTCTTTTTGACCACTGATGCTTTTCAGTGAGTGGTTTCAGGGCTATGTGAATCCTGTCCCCAGCCCCTGTTCTGTGACAGCCAATTATTTATTGTGATTCTTAGTTTTTGGTTGTCCATGAACAAGTGTAGTATGGTAACTGCTAGCCCATCAGTCCTAATATTTCTTTTTCATAGAGCTTATTCTGAGGAATGCTTCAGGCCCTTCTCTATCCAGGAAAAATTTAATCCTTTGCAAAATCTCTATTGGCATTCAGAGAACTTTTATCTCAGTGTTCAATGCAGAAAGCTAATATTTTTTAGGGATCAATTCAAATGCCTTCAAAGATCAAGCAGTTAACAAATAAGTGATGTGGGAAACTGGGGAACTAGAAGAGAAGAAGGCAGAGTGGAGTCTGGGGTCACAGAACATTACATGACTTCTGCAGATATCTGCAACACTATGTCTAACTCGACTCAGCTAACCCCTGCTTGCTCCATCTGGTCAAACTGTTGATGATATATTGCTTCAATTTAATTCTTACAGTGATTGGCTGGGGATATTTTATTATTCCTATTTTACAGATAAGAAAGTTGAGGCTCAGAATATTTAGATAAGTTACCCAAGGCCATAGTGATGTTTAGGAAACAGAAACTGAAAATCCTATCCTCTGCTCCAAACCCCATGTTAATTCTCTTTGAATAGAACTGCTTCCATAGTAGCTTGAATGTATCCACAAGTTAATCAACAACTCATTTATCCAACCCAGAACATTCTGGCTCATTCCCTAGTTTTGCAGTGCTTAGAATGTTACTTATCACATAGAATGACAAGACTAGATATTATTAGCTAGATTCTGGTATTTATTATAACTAAGGACTTCCTGAAATTACAGAGAGAGATTGTTGCCTATATGTATTTGATTGTTTGTGGTGAACTCGAATTGGGGAGATTTATCGCATTATTAAAATCCTTGAAAGCAGCTGTAGTCTTCAAATTCAAAGAAAACAAGGTTAAAGTTTACCGTCTGAAGTTTTTTCTTTCTCTTATGACACAAGAAGAAGTGACTTATGAAAAACTCATACAAAAATATAAATTACTTATGAATTATGAATTAGAGGATAATTGGCATTTTAAAAACTTCTGGGCCGGCGCCGTGGTTCACTAGGCTAATCCTCCGCCTAGCAGCACCGGCACACCGGGTTCTAGTCCCGGTTGGGGCGCCGGATTCTGTCCCGGTTGCCCCTCTTCCAGGCCAGCTCTCTGCTGTGGCCAGGGAGTGCAGTGAGGATGGCCCAAGTCCTTGGGCCCTGCACCAGCATGGGAGACCAGGATAAGCACCTGGCTCCTGCTATCGCATCAGCGCGGATCAGCCGCAGCTGCCATTGGAGGGTGAACCAATGGCAAAGGATGACCTTTCTCTTTGTCTCTCTCTCACTATCCACTCTGCCTGTCAAAAAAAAAAAAAAAAAAAAAACTGCTGAAAATATGCTTCTATAAATTTTTTGAAATCAAATACTTTGTTAAATTTATATTTAAATGAAAGCCTTTAAATGAAAACTTTCCTTTTCCTTTGAATTTATTTTTCATGATCCAAATTTTTCAAAAATTTTGTTTGAAACATAGAGGAACACATAGTGAGTACAGACTACAGAGACATAGGCATACAGGGACAGACAGAGACGGAGAGTGCCTACCCACTGGTTTCCTCCCCAGATGTCTGCAATGGCTGTGGCTGTGCCCAAAGCTGAGATTCAAGAATGCAGTTCAAGTCTCCCATGTGGGAGTTAGAAGCTTTTACTTGAGCCATCACTGCTTCCTCCCAGGTTCTGCATTAGCAACATGCTCAAAACAGGAGCTGCAGCCAGAGATCAAACCCAGGTACTCTGACGTGGGGCATGGGCATCCTCACAGGACAAACACCATCCCTAATGTTTAGTTGTTAAATTCTCCTATAATTTATGCGTTGTCTAGTCTAAAAGTATTTATTAAAATTATAATTATTTCTTTTTTAAAAATACAATGCTTTTTTTTTTTTAAATTTATTTGACAGAGTTAGACAGTGAGAGAGAGAGAAAGAGAAAAAGGTCTTCCTTCCGTTGGTTTACCCCCTAAATGGCCGCTACGGCCGGAGCTGTGCCGATCCAAAGCCAGGAGCCAGGTGCTTCTTTCTGGTCTCCCACGTGGGTTGGACTGGAAGAGGAGCAACCAGGACTAGAACCTGGTGCCTATATGGGATACCGGCACCGCAGGCGGAGGATTAACCAAGTGAGCCACAGCACCGACCCCTATTTATTTCTTTACTTAATGTATTTCTACTATTACAGAAATTTGTGGAAATATACTTACCTGTTCTCCATTTGTTTTTGTAAAATATATGTTGAAAGGGACATGATAACCACATAAGTTTAATTTATGTTATTATCTATATTTCTGTTTTCATCAAATTATTATTGAAAACACTAATATTAATAATTTAACTTGGAACATTACTTTTAAGACTTAAATTAAGTAGCTGTACACCTTATAAATGAACATAAAAACAAAAAAGAACAAGATACATGTGTGTATCACATATTTCTGGCAAATGTTTTGTAAAAAAATAAAAATTTAATAAAATCAAAGTTTCTCCTCTTCACAGAATGATAATCATTACAGTGAGAAACTGCTATTTAAATTATTTTCATGTCTATAAATAATCTTTTATTGGAATACTTCATGATCTTGGTTTTGTATTAAAAATGTTTATGTGTTGTATGCTTGTAATTTTCTAAGATGGATCTTGAATTACTTCTACTCAACATATACACACAATGGTAACTATGAGGCAGTAATGGATATGTCAGTTACCTTGAGTGTGGTGATCACTTGACAGCAAGTATATCAAAGCATCAAGTTGTCAACTCCAAATACACACTGATTTTTAGATCAATGGTATCCCAGTAAAATTGTTGAAAAATAGAGATTTTTCTAGGGAAATCTTAGGAGTGGTGTGATTGGGGGAGTTACTGTTCTCCATTTTCCACCATGCTTATAGCAGTCTTTTGGCTATTACCATCACTGCTCAAAGACCTTGTATGGTGCCTACAGTTCAGATCAATAATATCCCACAAAAGGAACAACAAACAAGTGCACAGTTAAACCATAGAGTTTCAAGGAGAATGAATGCATATGATTAACCATATAACTTATTGTCCAAATTAGAATTTGTTTTCCTGAAAAATGGTCTGAAGGCAGAAGAAGCACGCTTTCCAGTAATAAAAGGAAAAAAATTCATGATGAATTCTATAAAGTATACTGCATTTTGGTTGTCATGTTTCTCATTACAACTGTTGGAAGCTGTCCAGCTCCTCTGGTAGAACATTACTATTCAAAGCTAATGAATAGCCCCAGATATATCTGTATTCCAAACTGTTCAGAGGCTTTCCCATATTCTGAGCGCATCCTATGCTGATTTTTTGCCTCCTAAGAGCAAAGGTAATATTTGTCACAACGTGAATAACTTTAAATTGTCTCAAAATAAATAAAAGCTTCGTGATATGGAATTTACTTTTTCTGATCCTTGAGATGCTACTGGATACATGACATTTGCTTCTGTTTTAAATGCCTAGAATTTTATTTTTCTCCCTGTACATTTTAAAGCTTCATTATTGGTATCAAATTTGTCCTCTTCATTCTGTCTGGGCCGTGTGTCCTTCTGCAAGGGGGCAGTCTGTTGGATTTACCGTCTGCTGTGGTTGGCGCTCCCATGGGAATTCTGAAAAACAACAACCAATTAAACTGAGGCTAGTAATGGATGCCTCACCAACCACTTTATTTATTCAAGTTTATTCTCCTATTTTAGTTCTCCTCTTTTTAGCTACATAAAAATTCTGTCATTTGTTTGTTTCTCTGTGAACCCAAAGTAGATTGCAGCCAGTCTTCCTGATTATGGCCTACTTGTTAATTCACAACCTAATTGGAGGAAAAATCAACATGCAATAAATGACCTAATTACTCTTCATGCATTTCTACTTCACTTGGCTCACTATAATTCTATACTCATTTGCCATCATTCTTTCAGATTTGACCTCCCGATTTTACCATCCCAACCCCCAATTACTTGATGCGATCTGCATCTAGCATATCAATTTTTAAACATCATGTTTCAAAATTGTAAATATCCCACTAGCCACATGTAATAGACTGATTTGTGTTCCCCTGAAATGTATTTTCTGATTCTTAACCTCTGATACTGTGAATTTTTTTTAAAGATTTATTTATTTATTTGAAAGTCAGAGTTAGAGAGTGGAGAGTCAGAAAGAGAGAGATGTCTTCCTCTTCCATCAACTGGTTCCCTCCCCAATTGGCTGCAATGGCCGGAGCCGCACTGATCCGAAGCCAGGAGCCAGGAGCTTCTTCCAGGTCTCCCACACGGGTGCAGGGGACCAAGCACTTGGGCCATCCTCCACTGCCCTCCTAGGCCATAGCAGAGAGCCGGATTGGAAGTGGAACAAACCACGACTCAAACCAGTGCCCATATGGGATGCTGGTACTGCAGTTGGTAGCTTTATCTGCTACACCATAGCACTGGCCCCGATACTGTGAATTTTACCTTATTTAGAAGAGGGTTTTCAGCACGCTGTGATGTAGTGGGTAAAGCTTCCGCCTGCAGTGCTGGTATCCCATATGGGCACCAGTTCAAGTCCAGCTGCTCCACTTTCAATCCAGCTCTCTGCTATGGCCTGAGAAAGCAGTAGAAGATGGCTCAAGTCCTTGGGCTCTTGGGCCTGCGTAGGAGACCTGAAAGAAGCTCCAGACTCTGGGCTTTGGATTGGTACAACTCTGGCCATTGTGGCCATTTGGGGAGTGAACCAGCAGATGGAAGACCTCTCTCTCTCTCTTCCTATCTCTCTCTCTCTCTTCCTCTGCCTCTCTGTAACTCTTCCTTTCAAATAAATAAATAAATCTTAAACAAATGAAAAGGGTTTTTGAAATTAAGTTAAATATCTAAAGATATCAACCTGCAAACAAGACACTTAATAAATGATGAGTATTCTTTTGAATGATGAGTATTATAAATGATGAGTATTCTTTTGAATGATGAGTATTATAAATGATGAGTATTCTTTTAACGATAGAAAAGGAGAAGACACACTGAAACACAGAAGAGGAGACTGCATGAAGCTGCAGGCAGAGACTGGAGTGATGCATTTGAACCAAGGAACAGCAAGGATGGCCAACATCCACCAGAATTCAGGACAGAGGCATGTAATTTCTCCCTTAGAACTTCCAGAAGAAACCAGTCATGCCAATGCCTTGATTTCAATCTTCTGAACTCTAGGATTGTGAAAGAATGAATTCTTTTGTTTAAAAAACAATTTCTAAGGACCCCAGTTAAGTTTAGAATGTAAGTTGTAACAATAATTACTCTTGCTTGGCTTTGTCTTTGGAACTGACCACAAAAGACATTTTCCATGGAGCTCAGGCCCCTAACAATGTCTACTCACAGAAAGAGCCAACTGTGAGTTGAACAGAGAAAGTCTGGAGCTAAGAGTACATTTTGCTCTCCTCCATCTTACCCCTGATATTTGAAAAAGGTCTTGTGTGGAATCAACAAGTTCTGAGGTCTTCCACCTGCTTCAGGTGTTTGTTTTTCTAATACAGAATTTGGACAGGCCTTGCTGGGCTAAACTTTGACTACATCTTTTGTGAACACACAGCAGCCTATTCATATTTCTCTCTGTCCGTGCAGCTTTTTTCAACTACAGACAACCTTTGTGTTCTTTAATCAGGACCTGAGGTTAGAGCCTGCCATTGTAGGTTGTCTGGATTTGGGAAAGAAAAAAGAAAACAAAAAACAAAAAACAAAAGGTTGGTGTAGCATCTCATCCTTCTCTTATTTCGTTTATTGCTTTTGGTCTTACTGTTCTGAGTTCTTCCCATGTTGATTGGATTGTTTGAATCCTGTATCTAGGTTCAATTTGATACAACTCATAAAACTCTAAACTGTGGCTTGTACTCTGGCCACTACCCACCCTAGCCCATTTTCTGCCTGGAGTGAGATGAACTTCAATCATCAAATTTTGCTAGTGTTGAGACCCTCAGATGAGATGTATGAAAGTACTGGATCTAGTTTGAGATTCATATGGGGATTTCCAGTACCAAGAAAATATATATACATAATACACATTATATATTATTTTTATATATATTTCCATTATTGGTGATAATTGTAAGATAGCAGGACCAGCACTGTCGAGGTGTATGAAAATATAAGGTGCAGTAGAATAAAGTGGTGTATCTTTTCCAAATGATGCAGTTTTTTTAATTTCAATTAAGCCTAATGCATCTCAAATAAAGTATTCTCCAGGAAGGTATAAAACCCAAATATAGTAGATGTTAAGGAAAGAATTTATAGGCTAGGAATCTTCAAGTCAGGGAATGAAAAATGAAAAACCATTTCTTTCTTTTAAGTAAATAAAATAAAAATAAATTATGAACATAAAATTTATGGACAAATGAAACGAAAATCATGTGTAAATCCTTCAATTCATTATTTTAGAGGGCTCAACCCATTGATTATCACTGAGGAGAAAGGAAAGCATAACTCAAAGTCTCTGTTTCTGGGAAGGTTTGACACACTATATGTATGATGATGCTTCACAAAGCTTTCAAGGGGCCCACGCTATGGAGTAGTTGGCTAAGCTTCCACCTGCAGCACTGGCATCTCATATAGGCTCCAGCTCAAGTCCTGGCTGCTCCACTTCCTATCCAGCTCTCTGCTGTCCTGGGAAAGCAGTAGAAGATGGCCCAAGTCCTTGGGCTCTAGCTACATGAGACACCTGGAAGAACCCATAGCTCCTGGCTTACGATTGGCCCACCTCTGGCCTTTGGGGCCGTTTGGGGAGTGAACTAATGGATGGAAGACCTCTCCCTCGCCCCCTTTCTCTGTCTGTAACTCTATCTCTCAAATAAATAAATAAAATCTTTATTTATTAAAAAGTTCCAGAAAAATTAAATTAAAAGATAAGTTTATTTTGGTGCAAAGTTTTGAAATCTATCTTGTTTTCCGCAATACACACTTCTCATGAATATTTTGAGGACACCTTGTATCAGGAGAAAATCTTTTAAATAGTCGAAAGTCTGTTAAGGGACTGATTTATTTCCAGTCTACTAAAGCAGAGCTGAAGGACAAGTACAGTTTGAGCAACACTGCTTGGGATACCCACATCCCACACTGGAGTGCCTGGGGTTTGGCTCCTGGCTACATCTCCAATTCCAGCTTCCTGTTCATGCATATCCTGAAAGACAGCAGGTGATGACTGAAGTTCTGGGGTCCCTGATATCCATACAGGAGACCTGAGTTCCTGGCTCCTGGCTTTGGCTTAGCCCAGAATGTGACGTTGCTGGCTATTGGGAAGCAAAGCAGAAGATAGAATCTCTCTGTCCCTCTCTCTGCCATGAAGATAACTAAAAAGAATATGGTTTTACAGTGTGTGTTACTTCTCACTGGAATGGGTAATAAAATATGTATTCACATTATTTATATCCCTAATCTTTGTGAAATTTAGAAAGGTTTTTTTGAAGGTGCAGTGCTGAGGCAGTCACCAACTCAAATTTTCAACTATCAAAACCCTGTAGTTTAATTTTTCATTACAAGTTTCCTAAGTGGTATTTCTTCCCAGTGGCTGTAACTTTTATGAAGATGAGTCCTTGAGACAAATGAAGCACCCTTTTCATGACTCATCAATTTTAAGACCTACAATGTTCTTTAAAGTCCAGACCTCTTTTTGGGTGGTGGTATTGGGGAAACCATGTCCATTGTAGATGTTTGAAAGTCTGCAGAATTCACCAGATAAAAGCACACTTGAGCATGCTGATGTGTTCATGTACTTTAAGAGAAAGCCTAATGCATTGAAATAAAAATGTTTACTAGATCTGTAAAAAGCTAATTTACACTCCTCCCTTTCTATCATGGGAATGTACGTGTGCTCCAATAATGACTGAGTCACCTTCATCTTTTCAAGGAAGAAAAATTTAAAGAAATCTCCCATTCTCCTTTTGAACGACAGTGTTGCTTCTATCCTTGACAAATGCCGTCTCATGGCTTTAGAGAATAAATACTCAGGCTGATGGAAGAGAAGAAAATAGAAAAAGTGAAAAATGATTTAATAGTAGTATTCCCGGAAGCATGGATATTTCTAGAAACAAGACTCTGATCAGGAGAGTCTGGAGATGTGAAAATGTGTGAGGCGAGACAGACCTGGTTGCTTGATTTTTCCCTCTGCCGTGGGGATGTCCTTGATTTGATCGGTCTCTCTGCTGGATTTCCCCAGGAATCAGCTCTCCAGGCTTTCACGTGTTTCCTTTCAAGTGAGAACTGCAGAGGTGTCACATTTGGAAAGCTGTGGTAAACATACTTCTGCTTGGAGGATGAGAGAAGACACAAGACTAAACTTCGAGGTGATTTTCTGTCAAACTGCAGAAGTTAGTTGCACCAGCAACACAAAGAACCAACTCCAAAATTCTTTAACTCATTTTAGGATGGAGAAATTCCTTTGTTGTGTGGAAGAAATCATTTATAGTGATGTTGATGAAAATATCATAAAACAAAAGGCTCATAGAGGCAAGGGTTTATCTGTTTTGTGCTAAATGCCTGGCATAACATAGGGAATTGTATATATTTTTGCTTAAAGAATAAATAAATGAAATGAACTCAGTGATATATTAATTGTGTTTTTGTAATTATTTTAAAAATACCGTTTACTTTTGTTTCTGATTCTCCTTAATCCTTTAAAAAATTAAAATATATTTTCATTAACAATGTTTATTTTCACACACTTGGAAGTCAGGGGGAGGGGCTGGCGCCACGGCTCACTAGGCTAATCCTCTGCCTGCGGTGCCGGCACCCTAGGTTCTAGTCCCGGTCAGGGCATTGGATTCTGTCCTGGCTGCTCCTCTTCCAGGCCAGCTCTCTGCTGTGGCCCGGGAGTGCGGTGGAGGATGGCCCAAGTGCTTGGGCCCTGCACCCACATGGGAGACCAGGAGGAAGCACCTGGCTCTTGGCTTCAGATCGGCGCAGCGCGCCGGCCGCAATGCGCTGGCTGTAGTAGCCACTTGGGGGTGAACCAACGGAAAAAGGAAGACCTTCTCTCTGTCTCTCTCTCTCTCTCTCTCTCACTGTCTAAAAAAAAAGTCAGGGTGAGGTGAGAAAGAGCGAGCGAGAGAGAGAAAGATAGTCAAAGTCTTCCATCCATTGTTGTACTCCCCAAATGCTCCAAACATCCAAGGCTGGGCCAGGCCAAAGCCAGGGATCTGGGACTCCATCCAGATATTCCATGTGGATATCAGTGGCACAAGTGCTTGAATCATCACCTGCTGCCTCCCAGGGTCCACATTAGTAGGAAACTGGATTGGAAACAAAATAACCAGGAACTGATAACAGGCACACCGATATGGGATGCTTGTGTCCCAGGCAGAGACTTAATCACTGCTTAAATGCCAGCCCTCCATCCCTAATTCTTATATAGGTGACACTTCAGAGGAATGAGAGGTAAATATTTTAAAATAAAAAGTATACATTATGAATAAGAACGCTTGTTTTATTTTAGCTTTATAGATCTTATATGTAGAACAGTCAGAACCCAGGGCTATCCTACACTCACACATAGAAAACATATCATTGCAACTATTTGTAGGGCAAAGATACAAATACAGTGATTGCATAGACACTCACACAGGCGCACCGAAGGAGAGGGAAGCTAGGTAACGCACAAAACGCTGCTACATAATTCTATCAAATGTATTGTGTTGACTTGCTCTATCCATGCAATTGCTCCATTTCCCTTTTTCTTACTGTGCAGTTAGGCATAAATAAAAATGACTTTTTATTGTCATGAACACCATTGTAAAAATGTAAATAACACCATGAGGTCATTATGTATGCCAAAATCTTGCATGCTGTTCAACAGATTTCCTCTCATGTTAGTTTATCTGTTCAGGGCAATCTAAGGGTGTGAGAACTTCTATTGATATTGCATTTACCTTAGTTATTCCAGGAAGCATTTGGGTTCCCTGTTCAGTCTTTGTCACTTACGGAGCCCTGTAAGTAGCCACGGTGACTCCCACTGATTGATATTTGCTCTCATATAATCATGGGGTTGTAGTAGAGAACATTGACTTTGGCTTTTGACCCACACATCCATTTCTGTTATTTGGAACGGATTCCTTTTGTTTAAGGGTTAGCTTTATCGTATGAAAAGTT